AATCCGATTACAACTCGAGAACTTGAATTCGCAAGCCTCTAACCTTTCCACCGAAGTCTTGATTTCACAAGACTTAGGATTTCTCTCCAAAACTTGAATTATAACAACTTCAAGTTTTTACAATTCACACACCGTTCCAAAAACAAAGTGCACAGCGGAAATACTCTTCAAATTAAGAGTGGATTGCTGTAGAATACAAGATCTTATAGAGTATGGCACACTAGTACTCTCCAAAACTCAAGCAAATATTGATTTCTTGAAGAATTGCTTGGAAGTAATGTTGAAGGATCAAAAGTATGAATTGAATTACTTGGATTAATAAAAGAAATATGTTTGAATGGATATATATAATGTTCTTCAAGCAAAAGAGCCGTTGTAGGTGAGTTGTTGAAGATACGGATGGATAACTCCCTTTAAAACTGACAAAACTGCAGTTGAAACTGACGACTTATTCGAATAAAATCATATTTATCCGAATAGGACAGAGCGAAGAATGCAGACTTATTCGAATAAATTAACGTTTATTCGACTAAATCACTGTAGGATTGAAGAAATGAAAGTCAGGACTTATTCGAATAATATGCGATTTATCCGAATAAGACAGAACTGAAAACTCAGACTTATTCGAGTAAAACAATAGTTATTCGAATAGTTCTCACAGTTTTGAAAAAGTTATTTTGCAATTGACTCAAAAACAATTTGAAGGGTTTTTGAAAAACATTTTCAAGGAGGGAAGAACAACTAACATGCCACTTTAACAAAAATGCTAAGATCAAAACGAAAACCAAAAACACCATATCTTCACACTTGTCTTGAGATCCAACGCATGATTGTGAAGATCAACATCCAAAGTGCCAAGCCCATGAGGTGTCATTATCAAAACACAAGGGTCAACAATTTCCCCCTTTTTGATAATGACAAACCCAACTTATCAAATGCTTGGGCTTGATTCCAAATAATATCCTGTCTTCAAAAAATACAACAAGAGCAGACAAGACAAGACAAGAGTTTAAAGAAAGAGTTTAGAGTACTTCCCTTACTTCCCCCTTAGTGATTTCACTACAACAAACACAAGCACATTAATCTTCCCCCTTTTGTCATAAGCAAAAAGGGTGTAGGAGAAAAAACATTAAGGGTATCAAAACACAAGGGTGAATGGGAGATAGTAAAGTCACATTAAACAAAGACAAAAGATAAAGAGATATTAGATAAGTTTAGAAAATAACATGAGTGCTCCATCCTTTCATTCCTCATCCATCTCATCTTCCTCATCATCAGCAGTATCATCCGCAACAATTCCCTGAGTCTCTTGATGAATACTCGTATCCTGAGAAGATGATGACCCGTGGTACATATACGGCTCCAACGCATCCATCGATGGAACCACCCAATGTTCTCCCGATTTGACCAACAAATTGTTCAAATTATAACCATGGATAGCTTGTTGAATCTTCAAGTTGTCAAGGGAGGTTTGGAGTCCTTGCATAGCGTCGTATAACATCGGCAGAGAGACCCTACCTCTATAGGAAATCGGACGCTTCTGGGTAGGAGCAACAACATCATCGTCGTCGTCACTGGAGTCATCATTAACATTCTGAGCACGAGTTACGGTTTCCACTCGGATTCGCCAAAAAGGAGTATCAATAGTCATCTCAGCATTAGTAAACTCAAATCCTTTTTGCTTCAAAAGATGAGTGACGAGAAGAGGATATGGAAGGGCTCGCTTCTTTGTACGACAAAAGTTCATGTAGGTCAAAATGAATTTGCCCCAATTGATGGGAACCGGCTTGAGAATTGCATAGATGAGCATCGAGTCATCCTTGGACATTTGGGGATGATTTCCAACCCGACCTCGCAAGATATAAGAACAGATGTATTGCAGCAACCTTTGGGTGGTGTCATCCCGCTCACCATTGGACGTTTGGATGAATTGAATTGGGGCGTGAAATCCATAGCCTCCCAACACTTACGCTCATCAAAATCATACCATGGATTCTGGTCATTGTTCACGGTGGTAATCTCACCTCCAGAATTGGACATTCCAAACATAGAATTAAGCTCTGAACTGGTAACAACAACCTCTTTTCCACAAAACTTAGCCGTAACAACAAATTGGGAACCACGACGTTTGAATATGAGAGACGCATAAAAAGCCTTAATATAATCAAAAGGAACTTGAGTCTCTCTAATGGTGACGACATTAAGGAGACCCGAGGAGCGGAGTTTGGACAAAACAGATTCAAAATCTTGGTTTCTTTCAAACTCCACCAAATCGACATACCTAGGAGTGACAATCTTCCTACGAACGAATCGTTCAAGGAAAGTTTTCAAATCAGCCTCATCTTCAAAATAAACCCGAGGATTAAGAGGGTAGACAAACCTTGGTACTTCGGGTGTCTCCTATGTGTCCTAAAGTTGCTAGGTTGTCTAGGTGCATTCCTTACATTCCTAAAATTTCTAGGTTGTCTATTTCTGGGAAATTGTTTAGGTTGTCTAGTGAACCTATGATCAACGTAACTCCTAGACTCACTAGGTTTTCTCATCCTAGAAGTAGTGGGGGTTTGTTCTATTCTAGATTGAGTCTTCCTAGGATTACTAATAAATTTTCGTTGTGAATTATCCCTAGAATTATTTTTATCCAAAGGTCTTTCTCCTTCTTTTACGAAGTTCATTTTCTTAAGTCCCTTAGATTTATATCCTAATCCATTTCTATTATATTGACCTTGTTGAACTATAAAGTGCATTTCCTTGCTAGCCTTATTATATTTTTCTAAATGCTCATGCAATCTAGCTATCTCTTTTTCATGGATGTTACATTGTGCACAAGGAGTGTCAATACTAACCTTGCCAAGTTTCTTATTTTCAAGTTTCAATAAATCCATCTCCTTATTAAGTTCAATTATTTGAGCTTCTAAAGATGTGACATTTTCTTTTGCAAGCTTAGTTTCTTTGGTGGATTTGAGAAATTCACCATAGAGATCACTAAATGCACTATGTAAATCATCCAATGAAAAGCAATCACTCGAAGACGATAAAGGAGTTGAAAAAGAATTAGAAGATACCTCTTCCTCGGTAGCCATTAGACAAAGATTTGTTGTTTCTTCGTCCTCATCACTTGTTTCAGAAGATGAATAATCACTCTCCCATGAAATGTATGCTTTTTGCTTCTTCTTGAACTTCTTGTCCTTCCCTTGCTTCAACTTAGGACAATAAGGCTTGATGTGCCCTATCTCTCCACATTCATAGCATTTAGGTGGTGTAGCTTTCTTGCCATTGTCTCTTCTTGGCTTGAAGCTTTTCTTGATAAATTTGTTGAAGCGTTTGATGACAAGAGCAAGTTCGGGATTATCTTCTAAATTAAGTGATTCATCATCATCTTCTTCATTTTCCTCTACAACTTCCTTGGTGGCTTTCAATGCTATAGATTTCCTCCTTTTGTCTTCACCACGTAGATGAGGAGTAGTAGTTTCATATGTGAGTAGTTTCCCACGAAGAGTATCATAAGTTAAGACATTGTAGTCTCTTCCTTC